AAAAGAAAAATTATGTGTTTTTACAGCATTATGACAAAGAAGAAAAACTGCCACTGAAAAATAAAGTAATAGAGAAATAATGATGGTAACAAAAATATACATATTCATACAAGATATAAACAAATGTATAAAGTTTTAACAGCATGACATTTGTCCTTCATTAATAGAAATCATTTGCACAAGAAATATTGTCAACAATCAATGAATAATTTTTGGTGTACACTCTCAAATGATCTTCATAGGCACTGTTCGAGCAAGTGCATGTGGCATGTAGTTTGCTTAAAAATATTTACAAGAATTGGAAAATTCAGAAACCCCTAGTGCATTAGAATTATAAGATTTAGAAGCAAAGAAAAATGTTTTTGTTTTGTCTAAACTTTCTTTTGCTTCTAAATCTAGCCCTATATTAAATCATAGTATACATAATAAGGTAGATATGGATTACCAGTGTTACTATAATGTATTTCACAAGGGGGAAAATGTAGTTTTCTCAATATTACCAAAACCATAAACATATGAATTTAAAATATATGAATTAAAAAACAAATATCAGTCAATAAGGTATTAATTGATACTTAAAAACTTTATATTTGGCCTACACTAATGCTTCACGGGTATAAAACACAATGCCTTTTGCTGAGAAAAGGATGTTTTGTTGAACCACTCTAGGTTCGTGAAATAGGTCAGTATTTTTGTCAAAACCTCTGCAATATTTGTGAAAAATGTGGTTTAGCACATCTAAGGTAGTCCATTAAGAAGTTTCAGTTGTTTTTGTTCCATCTTATAAACACAAAATAGAATCAGAAAATATTTTGATGTGTAGGACTAAATGCACAGAAGATGATGCCAAACCAATATTGAACTGATAACTATGAAATTTTAAAATTGTCAAATATGTACCTTTATATATTTTTTTATGTATGTGATGGCATACTTATTGTTCAACAATCATTCATCTACTCACTTTAATAAAGCTACTGCATACAGTTTACTAGATCTGTATGATGTGTTGCAGTACAGATTAATATATATCTATACCATATTAGTATTATTGATATTATATGCAAGGTGCACGTACTTTTAAGTTACCAGAAGTAATGTCAGTATATACAAACTAATGCCATCTTTGAATCGAACATTTGTAATATATACCAAGCAAGATATATCACTAGTACGAAAATATCAACTCCTTGTTTTTATGGGAAAAGGGATACTTTCAAGACACAAGCTATACGATGGTATTACTATTAATTTACCATGACAGGCCTTTTTGTGAGAAAAACCGAGTTTTTGGGCTGGCTCCTAAATCTGAAAATATTTGTTGAGGCATGTCTTATTTTTTATAGTTTTGGTAAAATTGGTAGCTGCTAATTTTTCGCAAATATTTAATGTTAGAGAATAAATGTTTTCTTGCTGCTTCTCTAACATAATGTATCACTTTAAACCAGGCCTTGACAAATCTCAGGTGATAGGTCATCATGGTGATTAAAAACTTTATTGTGGCACCTGGTATTTTCTCCCATTTTATTAGGCACCTGGCTCCTTAAAAGAGATCATTGCAAGGAGGGTTTATGCTGTCAGCTCAGATGATCCTGATAAGGATCTTGTAGAAAGTGAAGTGAAGTGGTGTTATGTAGTCTTTCAATTCCAAGATCACAACTTTTCTTAGCAGTTCTGCAATTTTAGTTTTTCTTAGCTACACAAGATATATATTGACTGTTCTCCCAATAATTTCATCCCACTATTTTACAATCCAGTTTTTGTCACTTGCATCAACTACGACTGACACTATTTTTTATGCTTTATTAAAAGGTACTGTCTGATAGCATGTTAGTCTAATAATCAATCACTTCCCATAACCTTAAAATGTTTTCAATTTGATTTTATTGTCTTTAGCTGACTTCTATATTTGCTTCACAAATTATCATAATGAATAAAAGGTCTATTACTATGCTGTTCAATGCATAATTGTAGATAACACATTTCCACTTTCTTCACAAGTATTTAAAATTGTAATGAGACATGACTGAATATCCAACAAATATAATGTGGAACTAGATTTGCATGTGTGTTGCAACTGTACAATTAAATTACAAAGACTGCTGTGAATAGCCTTGGGGAAGAGGGCCAAATTAAAAATTTGAACTGAAATTTCTGAAGAATAGGTGTCCAAACAGAAGACTAGCCCAGATCCAAAAACTTCTATGGGTGGCACTGGTTAGATAAGTATTAGAATTAAATATCTGTTCATTAAGTCTCAGTTTTACAAGACCAGTCAGAGATACATTAATCACATTTAAAATATTTCTAAAATTTAACCATCTCTACAGTAAATGATACAATGCATAAATTCATTGACAAGCTAATACTTAACTTGGTCTATACCAAAGGATTTAAAAGCAGCAAAAGTTCTTCAAAAAAATATTAAAAAAGCTTTAGTAACAATAATAGGAACCTGATGATGACAAAACCTTGTCGAAACGTTGTACATTTGCTGTTATGTTAAACTTATATTAAAGTTTTTCTTCATTACCCATTCAAGCCGTCTCCAGCCATTAATAATAGGAAATAATTTTGCAGAAGTCCAGAGCACAAAAATAATGGTCATTCTGCAAAACATTAACAAAGAACTCCACAATTTTTTTTGTTAGATAGCATGCTGAAACTTGAGTTCTAAATGTATTGATAAACAGAGAAAATTAGTACTTACAGTACCAGGTTGCAAGAAAAGTTAAAATAACCTTGAATAATCTTATATATAAAAAACAACAACAAGGTACAGCTATTCCAGAATATATCTTAACTCATTACAGAGACTCCTAATTGTTTAACTTTACAAAATTATTCTACTGATTGAATTTTTCTCATGGAACACTAGCAAAAATAGTTGTTAAAAATGAAATTATAGTATATGTATGAGATGTAACGAATATATTCTTATTAGGCATAAATATTAATGACATAGTTAAAATGTTGGTATACTTATATTTCAATTTCAAAAATAATTATATTCATCTTAATATAAACACCATTTGAAATTTAATATAATTTTTTCCACCTTCCAAGAATCAATTCGCTTAGTGTCAAAACTGCTTTTCTACAAACTGTAAAACATTATCCACAAAGTGTATTTCACATCATTCACAATATTCCATTTTTTTACATTATACTGTGAAGTGATTATATCGATTTATTTACTAATTATCCGATTGATGTAACTAATATTACATTGACTAATATATAATAATTTAGAAAACTTCACTCCAGATAAGATTAAAAAATACTGTAAGCACACATTCATATGTAATGTAACATGTGTAAGGTTGCCTCTCACCCATCACAGCAACCAAGCAAAAAACATCAAATAACATTAATTTGTTCAAATACTTTCCCAACAAAAGTTTAAAAGCATTAAAATTAACAATAAACCATAAGTAACAGAAAATAATTTTTCCAAAGAAAAAGTCTGCACCTGTTATATACCCCTAACATTATAGTGTGTATTCTGAAACACCCTCCCCCCCAAAAAAAAACTGTCCAAACACTATTAACAATTCTATATTCCTTCAAAACCTTTTCTAGTTACACAATACGCATTATAGAAAATATAGACAGAAGGTAGTTGCATACTTTGTTGAAGATAATATCTATCTTACATGAACTGCACCCATGAAGGTACAAATATTTCATACATATATAACATTTTGTGTCCTTTGTTTTTACAAGTGACAAATTCAGAGAAAACAACATAAATTAATTAACAAATAATCTAGTTATTTTGCAGACAAATTTAAAATGAGCACTCACCAATTTAATTTTATTGGAGAAAAAACTGAAGGTAATAGAAATATGCGACAAATGTGATGCTATAACAATATGGGTATTTTTATCCTTTTTGTGTTGTCTCAAAATTTAAACATCAAGTTTTTTTTTACTTTTTATATTCTTGAAATTAGTAACAATGTATTTATGTTACCATACTTTACTAAGCTGGCATACAAAACTATAATTTTCACTTAATTACTCAGCAATAATCATTTGTATCAAACTGTATTACAAAAGGGACACAGATACATTAATATCACTAATTTATCACCTCTTGAGAAAAGAACAGTAAAAGGTGATCTTATTGAAGTGTACAAGATTATCTGAAAGACTGATAGGAAGATCTCTGAATTTTCTGTGCTCTATTCTGAAGACAATAAGATGAGATGAAGCAAGGTTTAGACTTGGAAGGAAAAGACAGACTAGGCTCCAGTAAAATGTTTTATTTTTGTAACAGGGTAACTGGCTTATGGAATAAGTTGCTATCAGCAGTAATGAAGTATTTAAGAAGGGAATTGATGATTTTCTGAAAAATAAAGGGTGAAATTAAATTTTTCAAGTTTCTTAAGTGTGGGTATGCCAGGACACTCTTGAAGGACCAGATATTCCTTTGTTGTCTATATGTTATATACATTTCCCATGAGAAAACATGTTATACATCCTACACATAGAACCGAGTCTGTGAAAGTTGACGGATTAGATTTACAGAAACAGTAACACCAAAATCCAAGAAAATAAGTGATTAACACTTTTTCATCTAACTGTAAAGAGTAATATGGTTTTCAGTTACAAAAAGTGTCTTCCATGGGAAATAGGTTTTCTAACAGCAAGATATACTTAGAATGAAATATATTAAATTCCGAGAGCAGTAAACATTCAAATCTACACTCCTAAACATAATAATAATAATAAAGTATTAAACTTGTTTCTATTCTATGCATATAAAAAATGATGTACAGAACTAGATAAGGAAATCAATCTACTATGTAACCTTATGCTGTATACTTGAATATATGTGTAAGAAGCTCTCAATATGATTCTATATACTCTGTTTTACCAGTAAACACTCAAAAAAGAAAGCATGATTTTCCCACAATATACTACTCAATATTAAACACTGTGCAAGCTGAAATTCCATATATACATATGGCTTTGAATCAACATTTTCTAATTATATTCACATAGTTAATAACTACACAATGTAATAATCTATTCCATATCAAGCGCAGTGTCAAGGAAAATTTAGCAAAATTTGTCACTTTATGAATCATCTACCCTGAAATACACTTCCTAAAAATTATTTTTATTTAAACACGTATACATAACATTAAATAACACACTTACGTATAATAGATGTAATTCAATGCTAAACTTACCCCCATGTTCTGCAAATTTTGGATTTGTAAGAATCTGCTTTGCAAACTTCAACCCATTTTTATATTGTTTATGTTCATAGCATTTCTGCAAAGGAAAACACTATTAAGTACTTTTGGATGAACATGATTTAAAATTTAGTTCACAAAACAGTGATACTAAAATCTACCCATATATATAAATTTATTAAATTTTAGGAAGATATGCATTCTTATATATTAGCAGCACTGACAGTGATCAATTGTTTACTGTAGAATAAAACAATTTTATGCTATCACAAATCTGTAGACATATCAATAACCTTACCAATAATCCTAAAGTACTTTCATTAGTTACTGTTTTGAGTCTCATTATGTAGGTCTTTTATTGTTAGCTTTCAACTCCATAACTGAAAACAGTTATTCTACATACTTCTACATATTCTACATAATTTTAAAAGTAACATAACATTTATATTGTAACATATTTCAGTTATATGTTTTCATTACTTCACACTCATTTTCATTCAAAAACTATTAATTTTGATTTTATTTATTTACTTATATTTATCAATTAGTAAATTTTAATTAAATAAAATCTGCTTTCATTTAAACTAACTCAATACCAGTTAGCATAGCAACTTCTTACATCTGACAAGAGAAAAGAGAGGTAACATGAAACAAGTTATAAAGTATGGCTCTTTCTGTAAATACGTATAACATTTTTAAACAAATAACACTTCTTTTTCCTTTATTACATAAAAAAAAAGAAAAACTAGTCAAATGATGAATGAGTCACTTTTTTTAAAACTATTTTGATGCAGTTTGATTTTTATCTCTGTATGATATTTCTATTAGAAGCTGTTTTTTGAAGTGGCAAGGTATTCACGATTGCAGTGAAATATTTAATCTAATGATGAGCTTTAGGGAAAGTATTTTATAGGTTTGATTTTGATTAATCAAAACTTGAGTTACTCATTTCACTTGTTAATTACCCTATGTATTTAAATATATCTACTTACTGTTTCATCATTCTTCTATGATTTTTGTCGTTCAGTTTGGCTGTTATTTTAACAATTGGTCTAAATGTTTCTTTAGTACAACAGTTGTTTTTATTAATTGACTGTTTATGAACTTCAAAAATAACTAGTTGATAAATACTTATTACAAGAAATATGGGATTTATGAAAATGTTCTCCTTTAGTTAACTGATATCAACAATCACAAAGCACAAACTAACCTTTCTCATAAACATGTGTACAGTTGCAACACACTACAAATTTGTTTTGTAAATTTCCATTTCTTACACAGTCACGCAATCAGAAAAATAAAAACAAAATACAAATTAGAAACGTAAATATACATTTAAAATATCCATTCCAAAATGGATCTCATACTTATAACTTGTAAGAGATTTTATAACTGGAGACTTTCGAACATGAGTTGGCTTGATTCAAGTAACATTATAACTTCTGAAATGATACTGTTCAAAATTTCAGCCCATGTAGGGTCCATATATTTTCACAAATGTACATTTTCCTGTTAGAGCAAAGGTTTGACTGTGAAGGCAATTTTGACCAGCTTAGTGTCAGATGTACTCTAAAAAAATTGTATTTTCTGTACTATTATTTAATATGACTTTACAATTCTGATATCATAAAAACAAATAACAATGATAAAAAAAAATTAAATGCACTTAAAACTGAAAAACACCATATAGCCTGATACAAAATTTGCTGATGGGAATAACTGCTACATACATACATATTATTTGACTACAATTTCTTGTTGACTTTGAATCATCTCAACCAACAATACTCATTTGGTGCTGACACGCTGAACTTATTACATTTAGAAACAAAACACAAAAAATTAGATGACAAAACATTCAAGATTTTATTAAAGCTCTTATTTCCAAAAATGATAATGGTTCAAAAATATACATGAATGACCTGAATACCGATAAGCAAAACAAAAAAAGAAAAAGGGAGAAAGGTATTACTGAAATAAATATCATATTATGAACATTATAATGTAAAATAAATAAAACAGGAAACAGTGGTCGACCAGATAGATATTTCTTGTACTCAGCCTTTCCTTAGAAGTTTTTTTTACAGCTCATAAAAAAGTTAAGTAAATATCCCTATAATGTGATTGATTTTAATTTTGTACAAAAATTTAATTTCAGGAGTTGATATACGTAAATGATATATAATTTTAATAACAAAAAACCATAGCATTATTAACTACTATGTTTGGGTATAAAGCCACTAGAGTTAAGAAAAGTGACTTTGTGTTCAAAAAAGGTTCACTTTGCCTCGGCATAAGCTTTAACCTGAAACCTTTTTGTAACGCAGTAGGACCAAATTACTTTTGGGTTAGCATTTGCAATGAATATTATGTTTTTGATCTGTCAAAGGAATATTTATATCAACATATCAATCATTTTTCAACCTTGTTTTTATGCTAAGCACTTCATTGTCTAATGTTTAAGTAGTGGAAAACTATGAATAACATAGCATCAAACCACTAGATATAGAGTTGTAAAAATGCACTTATTATTTTATTCTTAATCTTCCTTTGACGAAAAATAAAATAGTAAATTATAGTAACTAATTACTTAGACATTTATAACATTTTAAAATCAAAATGTAGAATTTAAAACATATAAACATTTATCTTTTTCCATAAAGATTACTTGTTCTATGACTGAAAAAAAAAAGACTTTTACTTATCTAAGAAAAACATGTGGCCAGGATTCAAATAAAACTAGTTATTTGGACTGCAGTGAGGTTGGATGGAAGAAGGCAAAAGATTGTTACTAATGGAGTTAAATTCAAATTTGACCCTTACTACTAGTGGAGTGCCTCAGGAGTATATGCTTACGCCTTTGCTTTTTTTTTTATTTATGTTAATGACATTGGACAGGAAGATTAATAACATTTGCTGATGATATTAAACACCTGAGTATTTCTAGTTGTGTTAAGGATATTGAGGTATTACACAATGCCTTGATAAATAGGAAAGTTGGACAATATTTGGCAAATTATATTTAATCATATTAAGTGCAACATTATAATAACTTAGAATATAAATTTAATACAGATGGTACCCACTCAATAGTGACTGAAGAGGATGATATTGGAATACTCATGGATAAATCAATTAAGTTGCAGTAGTGAATTCTATTAAAATTTTCAGATGATTTTATAGACGTGATTAAAAAAAAGTAAGTATCTCTATACAAATGACTAGTTTGACCTTAACTGGAATAGTGTGTACAGCTTTGGTAACTTTTGGTAATTTTACTTTTCCAAAGAATTGATATGCAACAACAGCCTTGAAAGACCAATTGAAGCATTGATGTCAATAAGTTATGTTATTTTCTTTTGATAAAAGTAGAATAACAGGTGATCTAATTTAAGCTTACAAGATATCTGGGGGATCAAAACAAAGGCCTCTGAAGTCTTTGTACTATATTATGAAAAGAACAGGATAGCAGGACACAAATTGAAGATTTATAAAAGACAAGTTAGGCTTCAGTTCAAAGTTTTATTATTTTAATAAGTAGGTTGCCATATGGAATGCATTACTACTGGCAATAATGGAAGCCAGCACTTCACAGGCATTACAGATAAATGAAGATTTCCTGAATAATAAAGTGCGGGAATAAGAATTAATTTTCTAAAGAGTGGATTTACAAGGACAGCCATGAAGGACCAAATGGTCCCTTGTTGTCTGTACCAGTAGTATATAATGATAAATACATGCTGAATAAATACACACTTCCCAGCATAAAAATCATGAGATACTATAATGGTCAAAAGTTAGCATTTAACCTTTTGGCTGAAAGCTGTCTAAATTTCACAAAAAAATTTAATTGTAAAATTACTTAGAGTTTTAAAGACAACTAATATTATCTGTTACTTTCCAGAGCCTTCTCTGGGTTGCTTGAAGTAAAAAGAATAAATGAAAATTAAAGATCACCTTCGCTTCAGAAAAATAATTTAAACATATTTTAAATATGTAACAAAAATCTCTTACAATTTATAAACAAAATAATTCACTTTTGAATTAAAGTTGGGCAGCCCATTTTTAAGCATGGATAGGATAAAAAGTAAGAGAAATGTATAAGGATGTATTTCAAAAATTAAGAATAAACTATTTCACAGAATTTTACAGGTTTAATATTTTTATAGCTTCTTTGAAATGTACATGTAGGCTTAAATCCACTCTTCAAACTTACAAACTATTAATAAATTTAATAAATACACTTGAGTTAAATAATGGGTGAAAACAAATAAACAATAAAAACGAAAGGAAAACTGCAGTGAAAAATTAAGTTCTTTCTATTTCTAACGTTAGTTCTAATTTCTGGTACTAAAAATTCTGTAAAATGTAATAAAATATAAGACTATTCTTAACTCACATAATTTTAATGCAGCAACAATTTTCAAAATTTTAAGCAATATTTTAACGATCTTCTTCGTAAAGATGTTTCTTTTTCAAAATAAACTTAGCTATTATGCAACTTCGAACATATACCATATATTATAGGCTTAAGATTACAAATGCACATTACTAAAGTTAGCACAGATATAATATTATTAGGCCCAAATGTAAGGAGTGTTAGGCTTAAGGTTAGCACTGTAGCATCGCTATGAAAGATGTTATAACGAGGCCCACTCAGTCCTCGGTAATTTGCTGCAAACTGAATATATAAACATACGAATACTGTAAAAATAAAAAAATTCTACAAACCAAAATTCTTTTGAAAAGAGCATTCTCTTTGGGAGGAAGAGGTTGGCTAGGGGACATTTATGAGCCTTTTAAATGTACAGCTATTAAAAACTACAACGATTATTTCATCCACACTCGTGCTAGAACCTCGTGGAAGATCCAAAGATGGCGGAGTTTTACTCTCGTTCTCGTATTAAAACTAGTTTTCCAAAAACGTTTTCTTAGTATTTTGTGTGATTTATTTTATGTTATGCTTTAGATAATTAGTATAAATCTTTAAAATATTAATTACGAATCACAAAACAATCTTTGAAGTATTTTGCAAAATAAAGCATTGGTAACGATACACAATCCCAGACGACATTGTACTATGATATCACTTAAAGCGATAAAGTCTCGTTTAGAGGTCTCTACATTGAAATATCTTAACTTTTAATAATCTTAAAATAAACAATAGCACATATTAAGTTGTTCAGTGCATAACACTGAAGTTGGCAAAGCATGCTTTTTTTAAGGATTAGTTAAGTAATGCAACTAAAGCAAATGTAAATTATGATGATATTTATTCGTTTATTTGCATGTCACAATCGTATATTCGATATCTTTCAAACTTACATCAATCTTACGAAAAATAAATGCTAATTTTTCATGTTTGTATACAGTTAACGAACAAATATGCTCTGACCTAAATAAAAAATATGCTATAGAGATGGCATCAAACCAATACTTTCTGTAGTAGGACGGACTAAGTTAAGGTTGCCTAAAAATAGAGCCAAAATAAAGTATTTGCGTTAGGACCTTTGGCATAAAAAGAAATCGCTGTGCTACCCCGCTTTTATAAATATATTTGTGAATTTATTTATCAAGAAAAATTACTTAAGACTGTTTGTTTATTTGTAATTAAGCACAAAGCTACACAATGGGTTATCTGTGCTGTACCCACCACGGGAAGTGAAACCCAGTTTTTAGCGTTGTAAATCCACAGATATACTGCTAAGCAACTGAGAGGCTACTTAAGACTGAAAATAAGCAAGTAGGCGAAGCTATAATGACTACAAATTGAACTGTACCAATATGAAGTTTATTGTTGTAAGCTATATTTTCATTGTTTTAATTTAGATGTTATCTAGAGGGCGCATGATGTTAAATTAGTACTAGAATACCAAGAACACTCGGAAATATAATAATCGAGAGATTTTGCGAAATGTATAGAATCGGGGAGCAGCGAGTCGGTCATTTTGGTTCAGCGAACTATTTAGTTTTAGTGAAATATTTGGATCGATGTTAGTTATTACGTATATTCAGTTACCCGATCAATTAGATGTGAAATTGTATAAGTGAGTTTTTTTTTGTTTTTTTTTCACTTATTCCGAGTCCCATTAGCAAGGTATGTTCGTTTGAAAGTCATTTGTAAAGCTGCTTAGTCCTGCAACAAGACAACAGTGTACAAGTGAAGGCACCTTGAAGAAACGTTAAAGAAAATATATATATACCGATTTTTTTATCATTATGTGAAGCAGACTTGGCCTTATGTTCATTTGGTAGTTTAAATGAACCAACCCAAATAAAGAACAGCATGAAAACAATAAAAAAATTCATAAAATATTGTTGTAAGCTATATTTTAAAGGGATTTTATTTAGGTATCTATTTGCTTGCTAGAGAGAATTTGTTTGTTTTGCTTTTTAGAGCAAAGCGACATTGGCCTAGCAGTGTCCATTACATGGAATCAAACCCGGATTTTAGCATTATACGTCTATAAACTTACTGCTCTTTCATCGAGAGACTGCTAGAGGGAGGGTGGCGTTAGTAATTATGATGATGTAATGACAAGCAGCAGGAATCATAAAATCTTAGAACTATATAAATGTTGAATGACTTGAGTATTGAAGCATATTATGGTAATATAATTTAAACTGGAAAACAACGATTTATAAGCATAATGGCTTATTTTTTAAGGAACATACTACATGTTTCGACAGGACTTTGGTCTGTGTTCTTTGGGTTCTGTCTAAACATCTAGTACATTCACCCCAAAATAAACTACTTCTTATATGACCATGTGTTATGCAAAACTTCATAAACTTAGAATTAATTTTTTGAAGACTTCTGCAGTAAAATATTAAAATAGAAAATGCATGATGTGCTTACATACCACAAAACACGTAAAATCCTGGCATTGCTCTTTAAAACAGTACCTGATGAATCCTTCTTTTTTTATGGTTTAAGCAGGCTACTGTGAAGGAAATCTGATAATAATGCAGGGAAGGTTGGAATGATAAATTTTGGTGCCATGACCTTGGATAATGTTATTTTGGATATTTATTTTCTTTGGATGAGGGTCTTGTTGTCGATGCTCTTCAAGTTATTGTACAACTGAGTTGGATCTTTGCTATGGAGTGACATTTTCCAGGAGAAATACCTATTATAAAGAGGAAAAGACAACCACTTCAGGTAAGTGTTTATCAGGGAGAATGGTTGGGTCAAAAGTAAGTCACTTCCTGGACATCAGACTTTTTTCTGATGATGCAGTGTCCTTGACAAACATTTCCCTGTGACCACAGCCCAGCAAAGTAGGACCATCGGTATCTGCAGCACCCATAGTGACATAGCTCCCATCCTGAGGTTTGATCTCAATGAATGGTAGACACAATTGATTGAGAATAATCGAAATTCATTAGGTTCACAGCTGATTAGGGTGGTTTCTATACAACCCTAGGTAACGCCAACCAGAGTAAAAACTTTCTATCTCTGGTCAGTGTTACCACTCAATCAATAGAGAGAAGGGATGTCATTGGTGGACGGCGTTCATAAACATAAAGTATAATAAGGTGAATATGGTGATTTGTGGGAAAATGGTGTTTGCATCTACATGATATCATTAATCCCCCTGTGTACTTCAATCTTTCTTTGCCATACTGTTTATGAGTTCTGATGCACTGAACTATGAAACTTTCTTTATAATCACTCTGTAATACGCCATCGACCACTGAGATGTGGCTTTTAAGGTAGTTTTTTCAAGCTTCGCCTAAGGCAAGGACTGGAGGCTACCAAGGTTTAACAGACTTTTAATAATATATGATGATTTTTTACCAGCTACATTCGAGTCGGGACATTAGAAATTGGTGTTGGCACTATACATTGTGTGTTACCCAGATATGAAACTGGCTTAGACAGGGTAAACTTCAGCAAAAGAATTGTTGGGTCTCCTCTACAAAGAACACTCCTGGATATCACCACGCTTCTCTCAGAAACTGAATAAGGTAATCAGTATATGTTGGGTATTATCAATTACTTCACCAAGTGAGATGAAACATAGTCCTGTTATTAGAACAATGGCTAGCCATATTCGAAGCATCCAAAGAAATTCACACAGAGTAGAGAACTAATTTTTACTAGCCAACTGTTCTCTGAGTTGTACAAGATGCTGGGCATGGTGAAGAAGTGAACTTCACCTTATCAAGTCCAGTCTAATGGTTTGGAAATAAAGGTGATACATACTATTATGTAGATGCTTGCAAAGTTTGTCAGTCTGTCAATTCTGATTGAACTGACTACAATAAACACTTTCTGTATGTTATGATTGAATACTACACAATGGAACAGAGTTTGGCAAATTCTTTACAGAACATGCTCATGTTTAATAGAGAAATATTGCTCTCTGTATATGCAATTTATAGTCCACCACAACATTAGTGTCTTGTAATGCCTACAGGCATGCTTTGAATGGATGCAAACTGTATTAGTTGACATGCACGAGTTCGCAGATCAACAGTTGGCAATGGGTGCTATATGGTAGAGAATACATTATGACACAACAATCAAAAAGCATTTATTCCAGTGCAAAGACTGAGTTTGGCTTTGGTACATGCCAATGGCATAGAAGCCACTCGATCTGGTTGTCTAAGTTTATACCTAACACTCTTGAAAAATGATTTTACCAATGTATGAGATACAGTCATATGGCACACATAGAACATGTCAACAAATTGTTACCATAATTTATAAACACCCCATTGTGCACTGGTTTAACCAAGAACTGGAGGTTGAGACCAATGAGTTTGAGGGTAACAAGAGTACAGATCAGCATGTAAGACAATCACTGACTGACAGGAAGCAGCATTCCTTGCTTTCCAAGCTATCAAGTATGGATTACATTAATTGATTTTCACATGATTATCTGCAGCTAGGATAATCGTTTGTCAAAAAATCAATAACTGAATGACTTTTGTGGACCTTGTTTTCCGAGTTATTGAATGTTACTGTCTCAAAATGTATGGTCTATCACATGATTACCAGTAAGTTACGACATTTGACCATTATAAGGTTGACGGAACCAAAAGGAAGTTGTGACCCTTATTTTATGAGCTATTGAGCTGAATTTAGCATATGAATTTAGAATATCAGCTATTAGCTGCTCAATTACTGCACTTTTAAGAGGACTTGTGTTTGTAGATGTAAGGGCTAGAACATATCAAGTTTGTACAACTAGAACTGAAAGAGTTTTGTGACCCAACTTCCCAAGCTATTGAGCACCTTTCTCTACCAAAGCAGTCGTCGAATGCTTCGTGGGAAACTCATGATTTAGCTCATGAGTGGTGAAACTTTTCAAGAACAACACATGGAATGTCCACGAGAGCCCCTCAGTACATGTGAGGATATATAACACCTCCACGGATAGCCAGCAGTTGTGCTATTGGTCAACACAGTATAAGAATCAAGTTGTAGCAGAGATGAATCAATCTTATTTCATTGGATTTGTCTTTCTTTATTGGGTTATTAACTGTATATATATAACACCTCCACGGATAGCCAGCAGTTGTACTATTGGTCAACACAGTATAAGAATCAAGTTGTAGCAGAGATGAATCAATCTTATTTCATTGGATTTGTCTTTCTTTATTGGGTTATTAACTGTATAAATGGGATCAACTCATGTATGGTGACCTAATAAATCTGGTAGGTTGGTTACGATGTTGGTAACTAAGGCAGTGAATATACTTTATTATGTATTATTGTGTATAGCCAAGGTTAGTTTGAGAGAGTGGTTAATATATAGGGAAACAATAGAGTGGGTGTTAATTCTGGCAAGGTGAATTTAAGCTAAAAAGTCTTGATTCAGTTGAATTCTATGCAAGATTACTTATTTCTTAATGGTTGAGAATAAGATGAGTTTCACGGCTCACACTTGGTGGCACGTTGCAACACCATAGTTATCGATGTGTAGTTCACGGGGGTAGCCAGAGATGATTACCAAAGCAAATGAGCACAATACCAGATCTCAAAGTATGAAGCTAACTATGTTTG